GTGTGTGTGTGTGTGTGTGTGTGTGTGTGTGTGTGTGTGTGTGTGTGTGTGTGTGTGTGTGTGTGTGTGTGTGTGTGAGTGCGTGCGTGCGTGCGTGCGTGCGTGTGTGTGTGTGTGTGTGTGTGTGTGTGTGTGTGTGTGTGTGTGTGTGTGTGTGTGTTAACTCCTCTGTGTGTGTCTCAGATAAAGACCCTCGTCCGTTCTGCTCTCTGAACCCTTCGTCTCCAAAGTGCCGCTGCTCAGACGGAACCTGTAGAGGTAAAAACTGTTTACTTCCTGGACATAGTGACATCACCACGTAACACTCGCGCTCCTATAGGCTAGCGCTCTAACACCTTGTACGTGATAGGCTTAGGGGAGGGACATCTCTAAGCTGGTTGACCAATCACAACAGAGCCTATGAGAAAAATAAAGAGCATCAACTCATTAAATCACTTTAGCTGACTTTACAAACCAGAATTCACTTTTATTTTCTGTTTTCCTTCCAGCTGTTCTCAAAGTGACTCTGGAGCCACACAGACCCAGAACTACAAAAACAACAACAGCAAGAACTACAACTCCCACCACCACTGCTGCAACCACATATCCTCTAACGACTACTACAAGCCCAACAACCGTAAAAACTACAACTCCCATCACCACCACCGTGGCCTCTACTACAATTGAAACTACAAACCCCACAACTGTTTTGACTACAACTCCCATCACCCCCTCTGCTCCTACTACCATTCCTCCAACCACTGCTAGAACTACAACTCCCATCACCCCCTCTGCTCCTACTACCATTCCTCCAACCACTGCTAGAACTATAAACCCAATACCTGCAAGAACTACAACTCCCATCATCCCCTCTGCTCCTACTACAATTCCTCTAACCACTGCAAGAACTACAACTCCCATCACCCCCTCTTCTGCTACAGCAGCTCAGCCGACCGTGACAATAGCAACAACTCTGGATACTTTTACGACTACAACTACTTCAACAAGTACTACAATATCTCTGATAACTACTACTACTTTGAGTACAATACTTACTACGACTACTACTGCAAGTACAACTACTTCTACCCCTACTACACCTGAACTGGAAACTACAATACCTACTACAACTTCAACAACTACAATACCTACTACAACTTCAACAACTACAATACCTACTACAACTTCAACAACTACAATACCTACTACAACTTCAACAACAACAATACCTACTACAACTTCAACAACTACAATACCCACAACTACACATTTTACTACTATATCAAGTACTATACCTAGTACTACTGCTTCTACCCCGGATACTTCTACTTCTGTAATAATTACTGCAGAGGAACCTTCAACCACTACAGTGAACAACAGGATCAATAAGGACGTGACACACAGGCAGAGAGGAGACGTGCACAGTGAGTACACACACACACACACACACACACACACACACACACACACACACACACACACACACACACACACACACACACACACACACACACACACACACACACTAGAGCCTCATAAACCAGACGATTGACAGAATGTTACGTCCTTCAAACCAAGCAGTTTAAAAAGGTTATGAGAGATATCATTCCACACAGATTTATCAAATTAAGGGTTTTATTTGATTTATTTTGTATGGATGTTGCAGTTCCTCGACACCCGAATCACAACCACGTGTTGGAGTTTGACATCGAGCTGGGAAACACCGCCGAGGACAACAGAGACGATCCTGGTGAGGCTCTCATTCTGAAAATATATTCATTTTTATTTTTTATTTTTGTCACTTTAATAATCAGTTTTGTTCACTGTGGTGTGTGTGTGTGTGAGGGTGTGTGTGTGTGTGTGTGTGTGTGTGTGTGTGTGTGTGTGTGTGTGTGTGTGTGTGTGTGTGTGTTGTGTGTGTGTGTGTGTGTGTGTGTGTGTGTGTGTGTGTGTGTGTGTGTGTGTGTGTGTGTGTGTGTGTGTGTGTGTGTGTGTGTGTAGAGGTGGGTGTGCTCCGTTGTTCCTCTGATCAGGGAGTGTGTGATTGGCTGTCGGACAGAGACGGAGATCTTCACTGGGAAACTGCTGAAAGCCCTGCAGGTAATAACACTTTTATAATTCTTATATATATAGCATATCTCATATTTAACCTGTTAAGCACCTAGCCTGTTTTTCATGTTTCAGGCTCGAAAATGACATGCCCAAAACAAATGACTACAACCTAACTTCTAAAAGGGTTATATGAATAATTTCTTTTATCAAAGCAAGGTTACATCTGTGAGTTGGATGTAGAAGTGTCAGAATCAATATAGATGTTTTTTATTTTAAAGAAAATTCAGATTTTACATAGTAAAAAACTGTAAATTATAGTGTCCGTCCAAAAATAATTTTTTACAGATAGTGAAAACTACCCTTGGATGATGGGTTAGTAGACTAAAAGCTTTAGGAATCCAAAGTACAACATATAATAAGTACCCTGTATCAAGATTGATGCAAAACAAGTGACATTTGACCTTTTTAGAGAGGTTTAGCCAAAACCACCCCACCTCTGAGGTGATTTGGGTGAAAATGGGTTTTTTTCCATATCTCTGGCCCCCCTTGCTCGATTTTGATGGTTGACACCTCTTTCTAACCGTTAGAGCCAATAGAATCGAAGGGGGAGGCCCCCACACACACACGTTGTGAAGAGAAGAGGTGGGGGCTGCGCGCATGTAAATGTAAAGCAGAGTGGAGGGACATTCTCGCTCTGGCATTTGGAAACGAAAAAGCAGTTTTATTGCTTATGGATTATCAGAAATCATTTCAAAGAGGACACAGACACATTGGATTAACCTATGGATTAACTGCAGCATCGTTTTTATCGTTTTAATGCCATTGAAGACCAGTTTTGACCAAGGTAAGCCATGTTAGCGTTTCTAGCTACTTAGCTCCACATGTTATGATGTACGCTTTCGTTTATAGCGTCGCAAATGTTTATCACTGAGTGTTGAGGTGGGCACCACTAGATTCAGTGTCTCCAGGACACCAAAAACGAGGGGTTGGCTGTGCATCTAGGATAAGTAATAAGGGAGTTATTGTGAGTTTAAGTGCCGTTTTAGGTTACATTTTTTCGCTCGTGGCTAATTCAGAGGCTGAGTGTTAGCATTGGGGTTTTTTTTGGAGAAAAAAAATTAAAAAGATCAGTTAGCTGAGTTTCTTCCCGTTACATGGATATAAAACATTCATAGTTTATTAAATATTAAGATTCCTTAGACGTTGTTTCCTGCAAATGACGCGTTTATCCTCCCGGTACCGGGGGGGCGTGCGTAACAGGTTAAAGATTATATACAAAGAAACAAACAAAAGACAAAGTTTGGTTGAAGAAGTAAACCGTATTTTCATAATAAATGTAGAAATACAAGTATACTGACATTTTGAGAAAAACGACATAATAAACTCAAAGAAACGACAAAGTATAGTATGTGGAAAAAGTTTTTAAAAAGACTACTACGTCGTTTTTTAACTTTTTCCACATACTATACTGTCGTTTCTATTTGTTATGTCCACATACTAAAATGCTTTCTTCAGATTTTTAACTCAGATATTTCTCTTTATATTCTTCTCTTTTTCATTATTTCCCCAGGTGGGCGGTACCTGTCCGTTTCAGAGCTGAAGGCGGGACAAAGGAGCATCCGTGGCGCTCGATTGGCCGTCCCAATAGTCCCGCCCTGGAGCCACGGAGACCTCTGCTTCTCCTTCTCCCATTGGCTGACGGGGCACCATGTGGGCGTGCTGCAGCTCTTCATCAGGAAGAAAGGACGAGACCAGAGGTACCAAAATATATCAAATATAATATTATCATTTAACCATGACCTGTCTGACGTCTGGTCTCTGATTGGCTCTCGCAGGTTTAGCTCCGCCCTCTGGACTCGGACAGGTGGACACGGATGGAGACACACACAGGTTACCTTGACGACACACTCTTTGGACAAGGTGAGAAACACACACACACACACACACACACACACACACGCATACACACACACACACACACACACACAGACACACACACACACAGACAAACACACATTAGTTTAGTTTTGTGTAAAGGATGTTGTTTTTGACGTTTTTGACATTTGCGTGTGTGTGCGTGCGTGTGTTTGTGTGTGTGTGTTTGTGTGTGTGTGTGTGTGTGTGTGTGTGTTTGTGTGTGTGTGTGTGTGTGTGCGCGTTTGTGTGTGTGTGTGCGTGTGTGTGTGTGTGTGTGGCGTGTGCGTTTGTGTGCATGTGTGTGTGTGTGTGTGTGTGTGTGTGTGTGTGTGTGTGTGTGTGTGTGCGTGTGTGTGTGTGTGTGCGTGTGTGTGTGTGTAGGTGTTGTTGAAGGCCGAGCGCAGGAAAGGACGGCGAGGACAGATCGCTGTTGATGATGTCACACTGAGACGAGGCGCCTGTTGATGACATCACTGCGCGCTGTTTTTATTTAAGACCATGCTGCTGTTTTTATTCACAATAAATCTTGTTCAAAATAATAATTAAAAAATAATAAGTTAAACTAAATCTGAGAAGGATTTAGATTGTGAGGAAATACTATTTAAGCGTTTATTAAGGAGTGTCTGCAGAGAGACTGAACAGGAGTTGCCGGGTAGATTAGATCTGTTATTGTTTTTAAAGCATTAAATAAACTTGTGTAAATATCTGTTCAAAGACCAGCTGTTTGTGTAAATATATATCTTATAAACTGACATGTATAATGTTTTTTGATGAATTTGTTTATTCATTTTTGGAATTTTAAATAAAACACCTTTTTGCACCTTTTTCATTTAAAGCCTAATTTTACCTTCTTTTAAAAATGATCGAATAAACATCTTTAGTTTGTCCTGAAAACCTCGTTAATTTTTTTTACTTTTTTATAAACCAGTGGTTCCAAACTTCTTTTGTCTCCATTTTACAAGTAGATCTTGTACTTTGGAGACAGTAAAAGTATTATCATCAAAATATAGTGAAAGTAGCGACAGTAAAAGTAGTCATTGTGCAGATTGGTCCATTTCAGAATAATATATATGATATGTTTTATAATGATTGATCATGAAAGTGTTCTCAAAGCTGGTAAAGGTGCAGCTAGTTTTAATGACTTTGTATACTGCAGGGTAGCTTGTGGATTTACTCCAGGTGGAACTAAAGTCTGATTTAACACTTGATTATATTTGACATCATTCATCCACATCTGTAAAGTAACTAAAGGTATTAAATACATGTAGTGGAGGAAAAGTACATCATTTCAACACAGTCTCACGGCATTTCGTGTTATAGTCACGAAATTAATCTATTGATTCGTGTTCACCAACACGATTACGCCATTTTTTTCGTGTCACACAGAACGATTTTAAAAGCAATGTAAATAATAACAAATTAGAAGGAAAAAGACATTTGAAAAAATACAGATTTCAGTATTCTGACACAGAACGATTTTAGAAGCAATGTATTTATATTGGTAGTATGTTTCGTGCCTGCACCAAATAATAACAAATTAGAAGGAAAAAAAGATGACATAAAATACAGATGTCAGTATTCTGAGGCTCTGAGACATTTCTTTTCCTCACTGACGGCAACAAAACTCAGACATTATACAATTTAAAATAAAAGGGATAGGGTTAGGCTTAGGGTAAGATATTGAGTAAGAACATGTTTTTATGAACCACACAGCTTCTGGTCTTCCAAGACCCGACCGGACAAAAAGACGTGTTGCAGGCACGAAACATACTACCAATAGAAATACATTGCATTTAAAATCGTTCTGTGTGACACGAAAAAAATGCGAAAATCGTGTTGGTGAACACGAATCAATAGATTAAATTAATTTTGTGACTATAACACGAAATGCCGTGAGACTGGGTTGACCATTTACCTCTGAACTGGAGTGGAGTAAAAGTACACAGTAGCATACAATGGAAATACTCAAGTAAAGTACAGGTACCTCAAAAGTATACTTAAATACAGTACTTGAGTAAATGTACTTCCAATAATCACCCAACCCCTTTTATTACTACTTATTACCCAGTGGCGTTTTTATATGTACAAAAGTGGTGGGGCACAAAAAACGTAGATGTCTATATATAAGCTTCTGCAGTGACGTGCAGTGAGGTTCATGGCTGCTGAGGCACTGGCACTGACTCTTCAGGTTTACAAATATTATATTTTGACCTAAACCAAAATATAATATTATTTTCAAAAGCTTTTTTTGTCTGATGCTTCGATTAATTTTAAACAGACAGTTCAACAAAAGGATACCCAAAAAATGTAATTTTATCATTTAAATATTGAATTGTTCTCTCTTAGTAAGATCCCATTTTCAATAAAATGGCGGTCTTACCTTGACTTGAAGATGAAGTCCATTTGCCTATCCTTCTGGACAAACATTTCTATAACTTTTTTGTAAAAGTCCTCCTTATGTTCTTGTAGTTTCAAAAGTCTATCATAAATCTAATCCATAGATTTATGATAAAAAAATTATATAAGTAGGGTAGACATGTGGATGTTATCCGGCTGAACAAAACGTGCATTTATCTAACAGGTACGTTTCCCACAGATCTTATTTCGAGCTATTTTCTAAAATCCTCTGGAGAAATCTCATTGCTTTTTTGTGCTTACTTCCTGGTTTTAGGACGCGTCACTGCAGCTCTCTCGTCTCCTCTTCACACAGCACACTTTTCGCGGCACACGTACTTACAGCCAATCAGCTCTGAATGATTTGAGATGACGTATGGTGGGGATGGTAGCTCCATGCCCCTCTGGTCATTATTTTTTTGCCACACACATTTCATTACAAAATACTCTGAGCATGCGCAGTGTAGTTTTTACAGTCACCGTTGACTTCACAGCGAGAGGAAGGGGCATGATCAGGTTTTGTCCCACATGGCTCTAAACAGCTCAATAGGCACACACTGTGACTGTAGACACACTAATTAGAAGAACACAGACTAAAACAGCAATGTACAGACGAATCAGATGATTAAACATGATCTTAAAATATATTTTATATATTTTTTTATTTATTTTTTTGCATTTTTGTAATCATTATTTGTAATACTTTCTGCTGACACTAGGTGGGGCTGTGCCCCACCTGCCCCTAATGACCAGTCGCCACTGTTATTACCACAACTCATGGTCTTCTCTTTTAGTGTATGCTCAGCAGAGTTGGGTGTAACGCGTTACAAAGTACTGTAATAATATTACTTTTGTCGGTAACGGAGTAGTGTAACGCGTTACTTTTATAATTCAGTAATCACACTACAGTTACTAACTTTGCCCCGACACGCGTTACTTCGTTACTTTTATAAAATCAGTCATAATCACACTGACAGACAAGAGGGGTTTCCGCCGCAGGTTTATATGTACGTAATCTGCGCGACTTGCGCGTCCACATCTCCACGTGCAGTGCTGCATAAACATGGCTGAGTCAGCGATAACTTTCGAGGGGTGGAGGTATGCCCATTATTTTGAGTTCGTCCGAAGAATAGTCAGGAATGTGACGGTGAGGTGCAAACTGTGTCCAGGCCAGAAGCTGTTATCCACTGCTGCAAACACCACGTCAAACCTCAACAAACACCTGCAAAGAACACATGCTAAGGTGAAGCTAATAGCTAAGGACCCCCGAACCCAGAGTGAGGATGTTGTGAGTCGCCGCCGCCGACTCAGAAGCGGCACAAATTAGAATTTGGAGGACCGGTAACCAAAGCAGAGATGGACAGGCTTGTAGCATCCTTCATAGTAGAGGTAATGTTGCCCATTTGCACAGTGGAATCACCATCGCATCGTTCAGAGATATACTGCGCAAAATACAGATAGCAGGAGACAGAGGACAGCCATAGTCAGAGCTATCTGGATCAGTCTTATGCGACAATGGAAACTGAACTAAAGAGAACATTTGAAACTTTAGCAGTCTGCGTGATCTGCCTGTAGGGAGGGGCGGGCCGGCCCTGCGAGTAAAGTAACGAGTAAAGTAACGAGTAAAGTAACGAGTTACTTTATGTAGAGAGTAACGAAGTAGTGTAATATATTACTTTTTTTTAGTAACGACCCCATCTCTGATGCTCAGTAAAAAGATAAATAGTACTTTATTTTTCCCAAAATGTGAAATTATTTTATGATAAAGCACCAATTTTTTAATCTTTAAAAAGTGGGAAAAAGTACAAACATGATCAAATAAAAACTATAACCAGCAGCAAGTCTGTACACACACAAATACACCGAAAGCCGGCTGATGGTTTGTTTACACTCTGCTTCTTCTTCTTCTGTGGTTTAATGGAGGTCTTACTGAGCTCCACACCGCCCCCTGGCGCTGGAGGGCTGAATACCCAACAGGACATCTGACGTCCGTAAAGATCTAATAACAGAGTTTCGTTTTTGAAACAACTTTTTTTATGAAAAATCTTTTATGTCATTTCCCTTTTCCAGGAATATCAACAGAGAAAGTTTGGCCAGACTAAAACTTTCTAATGTTAAATGAATGAAAACCATTCACAGTTAAGAATGAGATATTAATTATGAATGCCATTGATGCAGACATTCAGAAGTTAAATCCATTTCTCTCTTAATCTAAGAATGATCTTAACCCACTCAAAGGATTCTCAAATAATCAGGAATGACGTTGTGAAAACAATAACTCATCTCTCTCAGATTAATGTGCTCAGGTTTTTCATTACCACCTACTACTGGATATATAATACACTACCTTTTCCAAAAAACACTATTATAACTAAAGGAAAATATACTAATATAGAATAAATAATAAGCTAAACTTTATTTTTTTGGAAGGAGTATTTAATATAATTGCTCTGAGAGGGAAAGGAAACCCAACACAACAAACCCTAATGATGAAATACAAGTGTTCCTGTAAGGCAGGTTTATTTAAAGCTTCTTCAACACAAGGCGATTCAAAGTGCGTTACACAACTGAAAGACATTAAGAAATAATGCAGCAGATCATTCAAAAGCAGAGGGACTAAAATAACCATGAAACTAGCTGATATAGAATAACTCAGGTATACAACACATGAATAACAGTTACTGTGCATCGTGAGATAAGAATAGTTCAGTTCAAAGCAAACAGGGAAGTCTTCAGTCTGGATTTAAAAGGACCTGCAGGTTTCTGGGGGTTTGATCCAGATATTTGGAGATGAATAACTGAACTTCTCCAGGTTTAGTTCTGGGACAGAAAGCAGACCCGTCCCAGAAGACCTGCAAATCATTTTGAGGATGTAAGCTTTAAAAACACATGGTTTCTAACGGAGTCTGGTGAACAGATAATGAATAAGAGTTTATACGCAGAGTTATTTAATGTAACTGTAAACTAGACTCACCTTCCACTCCTCAATAAGTCAATAAAGATCCTGGAGCTGATTTTCTACAAGATTTCTATCAAAATAAACAATGTTCCAACTTCTACATATGGTGATGTACATTTAATACATACATCACTGTTGTAATGTTTGTGAAAAGCTTTAGGAGATTTTTGGGATAAATCCTGAATGAATTCAATGATTTTAAAAGTTTAGTAGATTTTCCTGAAATGTGAAAGAAAATGGCCAAAATTACAACTTTCTAATTGTTTAACTTTAGTATATGTTTTCTTTGTATCTGCATATCTTCTTTGTACTGAGCATTAGCTGCTAATGCTAATAGACCACTGCTTCAGAAATAAAGGGAATAATATTGCATGTGCACGATATCAGTCAATACATGATTGAATGTAATTACACTGAGTTCAAAACATGGCATTCCTCAGGGAAGCGTTCTGGGTCCTCCACTGTTTCAGAACTGATGCTCCGTGGTGACAGCAGACATGACATCATCGTAGTCATCGTCCAATCCCTGCTCAGCGTGGTCGCTTCCTGTTGTCAGAAAGAACATGTAGAAAGCGTATTAAGAGTTTTGGTGGATATTAAATCCCTTTAGATCAGGGGGGTCCAAACTGTTTTCACGAGGGCCGCATACAGAAAAATAGATGAAGGGCTGAGCCGCTCACTAGAGGTTTATTACCTCGTAAGTTCAGTTAGCAAAATCAATCAAATGTAGGTACATGATGCTTGTGAGTGTTTAGCTCATCCCTTAAAGCAGATCCTCAGATTGATTATAATAAGAGGAAATATGAAGGTTTATTTCAAGCTTGTTGTGTAAATAAGTCATTGGGCTTTTTTCTTATCAACTAAGATTTGTTAGAAAATGTTTCCAACTTTAATTGACTGGATTTATTTGAAAAGTGGTTTCATTAACACATGAATACTTCTGTGTAATATATGTTTACATTTATATTTAAGAAGTACAATATAAGACAAGCACAAGTTTCATTTGTGCCATATTCCATTATACTTTTTGAATTTGCTGAGGGCCGATTCAAAATGGTCCGCGGGCAGCATTTGGCCCCTGGGCCGTAGTTTGGACACCCCTGAGTTAGATGTGCAAACTGAGAGATGTTACCTGTGGCCCTCTGTCGATATAAAGACACCATGAGGAAAGTGGAGATGCAGTACGGGCAGAAAACCACCAGGTGGCAGATCACCCTGAACACAAGGGAGATGGTGGTCGTAGGTTTTTCTGCAGAGAGAATCACACCTGGTCAGGTGAACATCTGACGGAATGAGTCCTGAAACCAAAGGAAAGCTCCTCACCTGAGACAGACAGCCGGCTCTCTGGAGACTCTCCTTTACTCTGGACTCTACACTTGTAGAGGCCTTCATCAGACATGTTAACATGGACGAGGGTCATGTGACCATCAGAATCAGTCCTGATGAAGACGCCATCTTTGTAGAAATCAGCAGAGGGGGGGTCGGCCATCTTTGTTCTACAGATCAGAGTGACGTCATCTCCCTCCATCACAGGGAGGACAGGACTCTGCAGGATCACTGATCCACCTGAACACAGAGACAGAAACAACATCTACTCTGACAGGATAAACTCTATACCTGAACACAGAGACAGAAACAACATCTACTCTGACAGGATAAACTCTATACCTGAACACAGAGACAGAAACAACATCTACTCTGACAGGATAAACTCTATATCTGAACACAGAGACAGAAACAATCAGTGACGTGCGGTGAGGTTCATGGCTGGTGAGGCACTGACTCACTGAGTCAGATTTACAAATATTATATTTTGACCTTAATCGAAATATTGGATTGTTCTTTCTTAGTAAGATCCCATTTTCATTACAAATGTGGTCTTACCTTGACTTGAAGATGAAGTCCATGCTATCCTTCTGGACAACAATCTCTATTACTGTTTTGTAAAAGTCCTCCTTATCTTCCTGTAGTTTCAAAAGTCTAGTTTGTTGTTACGTCTACCGTCTCTGCGTAGAATAACAGTAGCAACAAGAACCTGTGGGCTCACGTGCGCCCCCTTCAGTGCGGCAGAGGTTATGGCTGCCTCCCCTGGTGCTTTTTCATTGCTGTTGTATGATGAGACCAGCGAGCCTAAATATCATATATACGTGAAATAAGTGATTTAGAGACTATGGATGGCGAGGATAAATGTAATAAAGGGATCAAACATTACATTGGTGACCTACAGTGAGATGGGAACAGGCATGCGCTTAGGGCCCGCTTTCCAGCCAGTTTCTGTGGGGTGACGCATTCTGAGGTGAGGCAGAGCTCATCTGTGCCTCACCTTACCCCACAGTAAATGGCTTGAGCGCGCTCACAAAATAAGTGGCCGCGCTAAATTAGTGCCCGCGCTCCAGCAAGTTACTGTGGGCTTACGTGAGGCAGAGCACGCCCCTGCCTCACTTGTCATCGCTCCCGTAGCGGAGCTCGGCAAATTTGCTGATTTTGACTATAAAAGGCGATTAGAATCAAACAGAAATCACATTTACACAGATCAGTGGAGACATTTTATTATTATTACTATTTAGTTTTTCTTTAGTTGTTTTACCGTTACATTGGAGTATGACAGGTGAGGCTCTGCCTCCCCTGACTGCACATCGCTGGAAACAACATCTACTCTGACAACTCTATATCTGAACACAGAGTTTATGTGCTAGAAAAAGAGCATTTTCTCTATTCTCTATTATGATAATATAGAACAAAATTAAATGTTTCCCAGTCCGTAAAGTATGAGACTGTACTGAGGTGTATTTTAGTGGATGATAGTGTGTGTGAGAATGTGTGTTTTGTACCCTGTGGTTAGCACAAGCTAGCAGCTCTGAGGTCGTCCAGCTTCCTCTTTCTGATGAACTTCTTAAATTATTTTTAGTATTGATGAGGAAACAGAGAGGCTGATCTTACCAGAGACGGTGATGGTGATGGTGTTACTGGTGGATCCCTCTGGGGACTCACACCAGTACTCTCCACTGTCCACAGGGTCAGTGGGGTCGATGGTACAGGGGGAAACAGCAGGTGTTCCCCAGCCGACTCCACACTGAGTTCTTTTACCATTGCTCGTCTTTCTCCTCACAGTCCATCCATCAGAGGCGTCCTCACATCTCAGAGAGACAGGTTCATTTCTAAATACCTGAGAGCTGCTGGGAGTCACCGTCAGACGAGCTGCAGGGAGTTATTGGATTCTGAGTCAAACTTAAAAAATAAAACCCGTCCCAGAATAAAGTTCTCCAGAGCTTCTTTTTACTGGTTACGCAGCAAGCTCTCTTTCTCTCAGGAAACTTTGCCTGCTCCAAGTAAACCCTCATTACGGTAATAAGGGATGCACAACTAATGGACATGTTATCAACATCACAATGTGGACTCGTGCTATATTCAAACTGCAGTGAGCGCCATGTCTGGTTAGGTTTAGTGAACTCTTTCTCCTGAGGGGACATAATACTTGCAGTTCACATCAGGGGCCGAACACATAACAATACAGATAATAAAACATTGTATTTAAAGAGTTATTTGAAAGGTACTCGTGCCCCATCTCTTACGTGTCCAAGTCCACTGTTGTCAATGTACTTGTCTTTAGTTCAGATCACAACAGGCCCTACAGCTGAACCCAGAGTCAAAAGGAATTCACCTTTTCAACTTTTCAAACAGAGACAGAACATCTCCAAAAAGACAGATGATGATTTCATCAGGAAGTTCCTCTTATATCCAGACGAACAACAGAAAGAGTTGCTTTGAAAGGAACGTCTTGCTACTCATAAAGCGTGGTAGGATTGGATCCTCTGATGTGTAAAGAGTTCTTAAATGTGGTATAGTTGAGGGTCTCATGAAGTGAAGGAGCGTCTTGATGCTATGAAGCAGCTGTGGCAGCAGATACTGGAAGAACCACTCACATGTATTCATAGATCTGTGAGCTTTACTGACTGCAGGCGTTCAGGCGTCAGAGTGTTCAGAGGCAGTGGTTTCATCACGTTAACAAACACTCAAACAGGATCAAATATTCAACTCAATATAGTTTAGTGAGCAGAAATAAATGTAGCCTTTAAAGCATTCTTTGAAAAAGAGAATGTCTCTGTGTCTTTGAGAAAGAGAACCAGCAGCAAAGTGTTTCCTCCTGAGAATCTAAAGGTTACTGACCTGCGTTTGTTGAGCAGCAGAACAGGCAGCTCAGCACTGGAGATCAAACACAACACTTTCTTAGTTTGAAGTGATTACATTCAAAACAGAAACACGAGTCCTGCATTCAGGAGAGAGATATTGTTGATCACTTTTTCACTGTTTTTATAACATTTAAACCCCATTTGTTCTCATCTATTAAACATGACCCTTTATCCCTCTTTCATATCTGGAAGTATTAAATGTGTTCAGGGTTACTCACGGAGCAGGAGAGACGTGTCCTTCATTCTGCTTCTTGGTGCAATGACATCAACTCTTCTTCTTCTTCTTCTTCTTCCTCTTCTTCTTCTTCTTCTTCTGTCCGAGCAGTAAAACCACTTCCTGTTCCTGCTTTAGTTTAGCTTTTGTGTGGTTAAATCTCAGATAAAAATACCTCTAGTTTATAAAAACGGAAATGAAACGCTGCAGGAATCAGTTCTTAAATCCTGAAATTAGTCATTATTTAGCCATTTTATGTCAAATATGTGATTATAATACCAGAAAACAATTACATCTATATTTTTTTAAACAACTATCAGCTTAAATTTGGACCAAACAACAACAACAATAATACACTTTTAAAAAACACAAAGATATCTTGTTATAACAAAATATCTCGATATAACAATAAAATATCCCGTTACACTAAACACTAAAAATATGTCGTTGTAAAGTTAGTTATTAAGTGGATACATCTAAATCTCATTATAACACTAAAATATAGTAAAAAGTCACTATATCTTTTAATATTTTGACAAATTCACGTTAATACGCTTAAATATCGCGTTAAAAACAAAATGTTCTTGTTAAAACACTAAAATATCTCGTTCTAGGATGAAAATATGGTATAAAGTCATATATTTTCGTATTGCTACAATATATTGTTGTAACATGAAGATATCTCGTTATAACACTAAAATAACACGTTTTAACGTTAAAAGATGTTGTTATAACATGAAAATATATCGTTAAGAAATTAAAATATGTTGTTATAACATAAGAATATGTTGTTATAACATATTATTACATGGCTTAGTTGAAAACTTGATTCTGATTGGTCAATTCAGAACACGTGACACGTTGTTAATCCAGTAGTGAAGACCGCTGTCGAAGACTTATTGACCGTTGTTAAGGACGCTCACATCTGCAGAAAGAAGTCCGGTCGATTGAACTGTATACAGTTTGGCTGAAAACCGACAAGACAAGAGCGACAAGAAAACAGCGGAGAAGTAACGGGCAGAAACCCTCCTTTTTACGCAGCGGTCCAGACATAGACATCAAACGGCGACACATATTCAGTGTGTTGTTCCTTTGGCATTAGGGCAGGGATATCTAGATACTTTCCAAGGTCTGACATAATGAAGTGTGCTACTTTTAAAGCAAGCAACGATGTTTTCAAATCTGTAATCAAAAAGCTCCTCAAAAACGCTTTCGAAGCATATCCTGCCGTTGCTACGTAGTTTCAACGGTAACAACGGACTATTTTTCTTAGCGGATCAAGAAAGAGAAAGGAAAAGAGGGTAAAGGACGGAGCGCTGGACGTCAGATAAATCACCAGAAGAAGGCAGAGAGGAAGTAAACACTAACAGGAACATGTAATGTTTGTGAAAAGCTTTAGGAGATTTTTGGGATAAATCCTGAATGAATTCAATGATTTTAAAAGTTTAGTAGATTTTCCTGAAATGTGAAAGAAAATGGCCAAAATTACAACTTTCTAATTGTTTAACTTTAGTATATGTTTTCTTTGTATCTGCATATCTTCTTTGTACTGAGCATTAGCTGCTAATGCTAATAGACCACTGCTTCAGAAATAAAGGGAATAATATTGCATGTGCACGATATCAGTCAATACATGATTGAATGTAATTACACTGAGTTCAAAACATGGCGTTCCTCAGGGAAGCGTTCTGGGTCCTCCACTGTTTCAGAACTGATGCTCTGTGGTGACAGCAGACATGACATCCTCGTAGTCATCGTCCAATCCCTGCTCAGCATGGGTGGGCGGGTCACTTCCTGCAGTCGGAAAGAAAATGTAAAAAATATATGAGGAAGAGTTCTGGTAGATATTCTGACAGATATCAACAGCAGACTTCTCAAACCTCCTGAGCTGGTGACAGAGTTTCTGCTTCAGTCCGATGTGCGGCATCTAGCATTTGAACATGTTCTGGCTAATTCAAAAGTAGCCTCCATTAGCAACATGTGCCGACCTAGTCACGGTGCTAAATCCACCTTCTCTTACATTAGCAGTCAGCAATATGACAACGTGATTAAAATAATATTGTTTTGGTTGCTTAAAGGACCAATGGCGGGGCTAGTGTCTGAAAAGCAGTGTTTGTTTACGTTAAAGTTCACGTTTTCTGGGGTTCAGGACAAGTCATGCAGTGATGTAAAGATACATAATAATGAAGCGGCTGCATCTGTGCCGTTTTGGATCAAATACAGGCAAGGCAATATGGAGAAAACTGAGGAAATAAAAGTCAGGGCAACACCTAGTGGTAACATTTGGTATATCGGTCCCGTGTCCTGCTTTATATCAGACCGGTTATATTTGCTTTCACACCGACCCTTCCAGGAAGATTATTTTCATCTTGAAAGACTTCCTAATGACCTAAATGCATCTTTAGGAGCGACGATGAACAGGTGTATCTTCATCTGAGTCAGAAAAGAGGCTTTAACCTGTTTCTCAGGTCTCAGGCTCGAAAATGACATTCCCAGAACAAATGACTATTTCTTCACTTCTAAAAGGGGTAAATTAATAATCTTTTTTCTCAAAGCAATGATACACCTGTGAGTTGGATGTAGAAAAGTCAGAATCAATATAGAATTGTTTTATTTTAAAAGTCACCTATCATGCTATTTGTAGGCAATAGCATAGGTCTCAGATATATAAAAATATATAAAAAACATGTCTATGAAGTGTTTTGCTCAAAATACCAAACAGATTACCCATTCTAGCCATGCCTCATATCCCTCTATTTCACTTCCTGTTACTAAAGTGCTGATTTTGGGTATAAAGCTTTATAAAAAAAAGAAATTGATAAAAAAAAAGGAGGGGTCTGAGCTCATGCGGGACCCGGCAGCTACTGTCTAAACTAAATACTGCCGTGATGAAACGCCATATCATGGATTATCAAGGATTTGAAACAGTATGGAGCTCAAAGGCTTTCTCTCTTGCCGGTTATACCACAAGGTGAGTTCCTTTTTATTTCCTGCTTCTTCACACACATGCTCTCCAGTACAGGTTAGCTCTGAGTGTTAGCGATGCTAATGTAAACACAGACCATATTACGTCCAAAACAGTCGGGCATTGTTTCTGATAGCAACGTTTCTGATAGGGCCGTGGGTCCACATTTCAGATATTACGTCATATCGGCCGCAAATCTGGATCAGCTCCGTTGTTCCCCCGTTTTTAGAGATTTGGGTACGGAGGAAAAGAGAGAGGGGTTTATTTTCTGACGCTGCGTGAGTTCCCTGACACACCGGGGACACATGTTGATGTATAAAAGACATCAAAAAGTGCATTTTGCATGATAGGTCCCCTTTAAAGTGAATTCAGATTGAACATAGTAAAAAAATGTAAATTATAGTGTCTGTCCAAAAAACACCCATTACTTATAGTGAAAACCACCCTTGAATGATGGGGAGGCGTGTTGCGTAGTGGGTTGTCCGTAGGTGTTCGGATCAGGGGATCACAGGTTCAAACCCCACTGCAGTCAGCATGTCGTTGTGTCCCTGAGACACTTCACCCCAAATTGCTCCTGTGGGGATTGTCCACAGTACTGAGTATGTAAGTTGCTTTGGATAAAAGCGTCTAACAAGTAACAAGGACTCCCAGCAGCTTCTACTGAAGCCTTCCGAGTAAATCGCGAGAACGCCGACACCTCCTCATCTCCACAGCTCCCATGTTTTCTTTTGTGTTGCCATAAGTTAGTCTCTCTGCGTTTGTGAGCTGGGCTAATGCTAATAATGATAATGCGAGGATAATAAAATGGCGGCTTCACAAAACATTTTGGGAGTTTTACGGGCCGTGGTTTGCAATCCGCCCAGCCAATCAGACATAGGAACCTTTTTCTCCCACGAAAGTCCCTGCTCTCTAGCAGGGACGGAAAAGGGGGTAAAAAGGTTCTGATGAACTAATTTAGTTCAGGCACTTTTTGGTGTGAACGCAAATATATCTGAGTTCTGATTAACTATTGTGGGAAAAGTACTCCGGTGTAAACGCGCCATATGTTACGCTCTGAAAACTGAAAACTAGTAAATATGATGATGGATTATCAGAAATCATTTCAAAGTGACACAGACACATTGGATTAACCTTCAGCAGCGGTTTTATCGTTGTAATGCCATTGAACACAACTTTTTATCAGAAAAACAGCAAAGGTAAGACATTTGCCGTTTTGGCTACCTAAAGCTACGTTAAGTGTTGTCTTTGCTGGCTTTCGCTGTGGTGAGTTTTGATCGTACGGTGATGATACTTTTACTTTAATCTGATATCTTGTTTGTGCAGATCCGATAAGTAATAAAGTATTTATACCGTGAGTTCTGTGCTAAGTGCGATAGAATTATTTTGCTCAGGGCTCATTTAGGGCTGCTTGTGAGACTTGTGTTTTGTTTCAGTAAAAATGGTTCATATCGTCAGCTAGCTGAGTTTCTTCCCGTTAAGTGGATGTGACACATTCATAGTTTGTTAAATGTTAAGAAGCCCTCAGACGCTGTTTCTTGCAGATGTTGCGTTTTTGCCCCCGCCGTTAAAACGTAAATGATACGCTTTAAAATGAACAGATGTCTCGTTTAGGTAAATTTAGATTTTCAAACTGAGAGAAGTTACCTCTGGCCCTCTCTCGATAAATAGACACCATGAGGAAAGTGGAGATGCAGTACGGGCAGAAAACCACCAGGTGGCAGATCAGCCTGAACACAAGGTGGAGGGAGGAGGTCGGAGGTCTTTCTGCAGAGAGAATCACACCTGGTCAGGTGAACATCTGAAGGAATGAGTCCTGAAACCAAAGGAAAGCTCCTCACCTGAGACAGACAGCCGGCTCTCTGGAGACTCTCCTTCATTCTGGACTCTACACTTGTAGAGGCCTTCATCAGACCTGTTAACATGGTGGAGGGTCATGTGACCATCAGACTCAGTCCTGATGAAGACGCCATCTTTGTAGAAATCAGCAGAGGGGGGGTCGGCCATCTTTGTTCTACAGGTCAGAGTGACGTCATCTCCCTCCATCACAGGGAGGGCAGGACTCTGCAGGATCACTGATCCACCTGAACACAGAGACAGAAACAACATCTACTCTGACAGGATAAACTCTATATCTGAACACAGAGACAGAAACAACATCTACTCTGACAGGATAAACTCTATACCTGAACACAGAGACAGAAACAACATCTACTCTGACAGGATAAACTCTATACCTGAACACAGAGACAGAAACAACATCTACTCTGACAGGATAAACTCTATACCTGAACACAGAGACAGAAACAACATCTACTCTGACAGGATAAACTCTATACCTGAACAGAGACAGAAACAACATCTACTCTGACAGGATAAACTCTATACCTGAACACAGAGACAGAAACAACATCTACTCTGACAGGATAAACTCTATACCTGAAGAGACAGAAACAACATCTACTCTGACAGGATAAACTCTATACCTGAACACAGAGACAGAAACAACATCTACTCTGACAGGATAAACTCTATACCTGAACACAGAGACAGAAACAACATCTACTCTGACGAGTCGAGGGGTTGATTATTTGATGATTTCCAGGGACTGTATTCTTGGTCATATATCCTTGTGTGGACCATCTGGAGTTTAAGTACTTAAGAGGACATTTTAGAAAAAGAGCATTTTCTCTAAAAATAATTATATTTTTGAACTAAATAAAAATGTAAAACGTCAGTGTTTCCCAGTCCCTAAAGTATGAGACTGTACTGAGGTGTATTTTAGTGGATGATAGTGTGTGTGAGAATGTGTGTTTTGTACCCTGTGGTTAGCACAAGCTAGCAGCTCTGAGGTCGTCCAGCTTCCTCTTTCTGATGAACTTCTTAAATTATTTTTAGTATTGAAGAGGAAACAGAGAGGCTGATCTTACCAGAGACGGTGATGGTGATGGTGTTACTGGTGGATCCCTCTGTGGACTCACACCAGTACACTCCACTGTCCACAGGGTCAGAGGAGCTGATGTTACAGGAGGAACCAGCAGGTGTTCCCCAGTCTTCACACTCAGCTCTGTTCTCATAGCTCGTGCTTCTCCTCACAGTCCATCCATCAGAGGCGTCCTCACATCTCAGAGAGACAGGTTCATTTCTAAATACCTGAGAGCTGCTGGGAGTCACCGTCAGACGAGCTGCAGGGAGTTATTGGATTCTGAGTCAAACTTAAAAAATAAAACCCGTCCCAGAATAAAGTTCTCCAGAGCTTCTTTTTACTGGTTACGCAGCAAGCTCTCTTTCTCTCAGGAAACTTTGCCTGCTCCAAGTAAACCCTCATTACGGTAATAAGGGATGCACAACTAATGGACATGTTATCAACATCACAATGTGGACTCATGCTATATTCAAACTGCAGTGAGCGCCATGTCTGGTTAGGTTTAGTGAACTCTTTAAAGCATTCTTTGAAAAAGAGAATGTCTCTGTGTCTTTGAGAAAGAGAACCAGCAGCAAAGTGTTTCCTCCTGAGAATCTAAAGGTTACTGACCTGCGTTTGTTGAGCAGCAGAACAGGGAGCTCAGCACTGGAGATCAAACACAACACTTTCTTAGTTTGAAGTGATTACATTCAAAACAGAAACACGAGTCCTGCATTCAGGACAGAGATATTGTTGATCACTTTTTCACTGTTTCTATAACATTTAAACCCCATTTGTTCTCATCTATTAAACATGACCCTTTATCCCTCTTTCATATCTGGAAGTATTAAATGTGTTCAGGGTTACTCACGGAGCAGGAGAGAAGTGTCCTTCATTCTGCTGCTTGGTGCAATGAGATCAACTCTTCTTCTTCTTCTTCTGTCCGAGCAGTGAAACCACTTCCTGTTTCGTACGTCCTGCTTTTTTAAATAGATCATATTTAACTAACGTTGAATTGTGAAGCACTTTGAGATGATGTTTTTAAAGTGTGCTTTACAGATAACATGTATTATTATTATGATGGAGTAAGTTAAATGTTAAAGTATTCAGATTTTTTGGAAAGTATTGTATTTATTGTCTAGTGAAAAAACTGATGAGTCCACTTTTTATAAATAAATTAAAAAATATGTATCTAGTGATTATGTTTTTTTATTTATTTGGTTTAATTAAAAATATATATACATAAATGTGGGAGTATAAAAGAACCAAGTCAAAAAACATGTAAATAAAGATTATTTAAATTCCCGATGGGAATGCGTTTTGTTGAAAAATAAACCAAAACGTGTAAAAAAGGGCTGGAAAATATGCTGAAAAAATACCAAAATACTTGTAGAAATTACATAGAATAGTCTTTAAAAGCATCAGTGAGAAAAGCCCAAAATGAAGTCAATACATTTTGGGAAAGTATGGTGAAAAATGCCTGGAAAATACTTGTAGAAATGTCTCTTTGCCGCTGCTTTTAATTGAGCTGCTGATATTCGAACTACAGTATGCCTTTTAAACATGTATTGTATACCTGTGGTGTTTATTTTTATTATTTTTGCTTTGTAATGCCTGTTGTAAAATGCCATTATAAAATGTGTTTTGTGTGTGTGTGTGTGTGTGTGTGTGTGTGTGTGTGTGTGTGTGTGTGTGTGTGTGTGTGTGTGTGTGTGTGTGTGTGTGTGTGTGTGTGTGTGTGTGTGTGTGTGTGTGTGTGTGTGTGTGTGTGTGTGTGTGTGTGTGTGTGTGTGTGTGTGTGTGTGTGTGTGTGTGTGTGTGTGTGTGTGTGTTTTTACTGTATTTATTCCTAAAAAGTATTTTAATTTGTTTTGTAAAGCACTTTGAATTGTCGCGTACAGAAAAGTGATATATAAATATACTTGCCTTAAAAGCATCAAAGAAAAGCCCAAAATGAAGTCAATAATGTTGGAAAAGTATGGTGAAAAATGCCTGGAAAATACGTTGAAAAAGAGACCAAAAAATCAGTTGAAAAAATTACAAAATACCAAAAAGAAATGAAGGGAAAGTGTCGTGAAAATGGAGAAAACATTGTCTGGAAAATATGTTGAGAAAAAGGGCACAAAATGTAAAAAAGAAAACCCTTGTAAAATATATGAAGAATGTGAAAAAAGCCAGAAAATATTGAATATTTTTTGGAGACCTCGAGACGAGTTTAAATATCCAGAGAAATTCACTTTGATATAAAACAGAGAAAAGCAGCAGAAAAGATAGAATATAATAAATAAAGACTTTAGACGTCGTTAGTCTTCCTGTTTCTTTATTGGAAAGTTTTCTGAGCAGTAATGACTGACATTGGTCCCACACACACACACACACACACACACACACACACACACACACAAACACACACACACACACACAAACACACACACACACACAAACACACACACACACACAATTGACTAACTAAAAAAAAAAAAATATTTGCTGGAGGGTTGATGAAATGAATCATGGGAAACGTTGAGGAGTAAAAAAAGGGTAAAAAGTTTTCTTGTGTCTAAAAGAAGTCGAGGTCGTCTGGAGCGTCGAGGTCCCGGTACTCGATGATCGATCGCGGGTCCCCACGAACACCCCTACACAAACACACACACACACATTAACTTATGTTCATTAAAGGAAATATAAAAAATGCTGTAAAAATAAAGTGTTTTTTTTACGTACCTGTTGTTCCGTGGTTTCGGAGGGAATCCCCCCCCTCCTCCTCCTCCCCCCCCTCCTCCTAAATGACCCCTGAAGTTGTCATAGTTACCGCGCCCCGCCCCAAACTGGCTCGGGTTGTAGGGGGGGCCGCCACCTGCAACAGACACACACAATAAATAAAACACACTTAATACACAACAAGAGACTTTCCCATTTCATTTTGTACACAACAAAAATGTTAACTCATGTTATAATAATTATACAATATTTGTAGCAATTAAAAAAGGTTTAATAATAAATAATTGTAATTCTTTAAATCGAATTAAGTAACGGCAAAGTTCATCAGTTGGTTCATTTAATTAAAGTTAACCCGTCTAAACTCTTATGTATACCCAAATGTCCTTTATGGTAACATTTCTTTAGTTTTTAACACCTTGAAAATCTATTATATATATATCTATTATATTTGGTAATTTTCACAGAAAAAAGCACTTCTAATTGAACTAATTTGCCAAACAAACATTTTTAGGGGATTTTCAAGGAATATTTCCCACAAAGTCAAAAGCACCAAATGAGCCTTTGAGTTTAATCAGGTTTAGATGTATTTATTATTTATTGATAAGACGTTAGCAGGTGTTTTACTGCTGTCCCTGAACGTCTGGTTTTTCACCATACTTTCATTTATTGACATCATTTTGGGCATTTTCCCTTTTCAGGACAATTCTACATCATTTTTACAGTTATTTTGGTCTATTCTAAACTACGTGTGTGTGTGTGTGTGTGTGTGTGTGTGTGTGTGTGTGTGTGTGTGTGTGTGTGTGTGTGTGTGTGTGTGTGTGTGTGTGTGTGTGTGTGTGTGTGTGTGTGTGTGTGTGTGTGTGTGTGTGTGTGTGTGTGTGTGTGTGTGTGTAGTACCAGGGAAGCCGGGCATGGGGGGTCTGACTCCAGGAGGATATCCCAGAAGGCTTTGCTGCTGCGGAGACTGACCAGGAAATGATGTCATACCCTGAGAACCTAAAAGATGAGGAAAATAAAGTCAGTCATTTTTATTTTTTAAATTAGGTTTCCTACATTTCCCAGAATGCCGCTCACCTTGTGGCGGCGGGAGGGGCTTGTTCTCAGGGAGGGCGGGTCTCTTGGCGTCCAACAGGAAGTTGTTGAAGAAGACGACTTCCTGTCTGACGGCGGACACTTTGTCGCCGTGTTTGTTCAGGATGTGTTTACGCACAAACTCTGGGGCCTGAAACACACCAACAACAAAGAGTGTTACACACACACACACACACACACACACACACACACCACAAAGAGTATCACAGAGAGACACACTCCGAAAACAATTCAGAATAATAAAAAAAATCTTTGAATATTTTTAGGAAACATTTGAAATATTTTAGGTAAAAAAAGTTAAAATGTCCAAAAATAGTTTGAGTATTTCTAGGAAGCGTAATGAAGAAGTTAAATATGTTGCGTCTCACCTTGAACTTCTTCCCGCTCAGAGGGCAGAGCCACTTGTCCTTGCTCAGCTCCTGAGAATTCGCCACCAGGAACTTCTCCACCTGGAAACACGGCCATCGTTACAACACATTATTTCACTGAAGGGAATTCAATCTGAAAGTGTTTGTAATTTTGTTGACATGTTTCCTCTTCCAGCGTATTTCATACATTTTTCATATACTCATTACATTCATTCCATATTTTAACTACAATTTCCACATTTAATCTGGATATTTTTATAAAATGTCTAATGCACTGTTAAAATAATTTCCCAAAAATGTTCTCCTGAGATTTTATAACTTTTCGGAAAAAAAACGTGTTCATTTTTTCCTACATTTTTTGAAAGTATTTTTCAGAAAATGTTAATACTGTTACATTTTCAGACTTCACATTTTTTTTTTTTTTTACATTTGTACGTTTTTGGATATTTCTCAAATATGAGTTTATTGACTTTCTTTCCAACACATTCTGTAGACGTCTTTCCTCATGTCCTCTTCACATTTATATTCTCTAGTTTCATTCTGTACCTCTTGTTCCGGGTCCTTCTTCCCCAGCTTGGCCGCCTCCTCTTCACTCAGAGACTCTGAGACCGAGAACAGGGGAGCCAGACGCTCCTCACACATCTTCTGGTGCTCACTCACTACCACAACAACAACAAATACAAAGAATACAAACAAACAAATTCAGCAGAAAGTCAACATTTCAATAAAAAAAGATATATCAAACATTTTATTTAAAGACGTAAGATAAATGTATAAAAAAAATGTGTGTGTGTGAGTGAGTGAGTGAGTGAGTGAGTGAGTGAGTGTGTGTGTGTGTGTGTGTGTGTGTGTCTGAGTGAGTGAGTGTCTGAGTGTGTGTGTGTGTGTGTGTGTGTGTGAGTGAGTGAGTGTCTGAGTGAGTGAGTGTCTGAGTGAGTGAGTGTCTGAGTGTCTGAGTGTCTGAGTGTCTGAGTGTCTGAGTGAGTGAGTGTGTGAGTGAGTGTCTGAGTGTGTGTGTGTGTGTGTGTGTGTGTGTGAGTGAGTGAGTGTCTGAGTGAGTGAGTGAGTGAGTGTCTGAGTGAGTGAGTGTCTGAGTGTCTGAGTGTCTGAGTGAGTGAGTGTCTGAGTGAGTGAGTGTCTGAGTGAGTGAGTGTCTGAGTGTCTGAGTGTCTGAGTGAGTGAGTGAGTGAGTGAGTGTGTGTGTGTGTGCGTGTGTGTGTGTGTGTGTGTGTGTGTGTGTGTGTGTGTGTGTGTGTACCCTCTGCTGCAGTGATCTTGGCTGCAGGAACTGGTCCTCTCACATGAAGGAGTCCGCAGCGATGAGGCATCTCGTCCTCGGCCGGATACTCACAGAAGTTATAATAATCCACGGAGTGAACGAGACGCAGGTAGAGCAGCAGGCGGTCCAACACCTGAACACACACACACACACACACACACACATTTAATCAACACGTTCGGACCTTTTCCACTCATTTAAGAGTTTCTCATATTTATGGGATCCCCCCCTAATATTTATTATTTAGTTTGTTATTATATATTTATAACTTTCCAGCAAAAATTTCTTCCAAGTCAGTTTTTTTATGCATTTTGAATATTTTATAAATCCTTTCGAGGCAAAGTCAGACATATTCTTTTTCAGACTAACATTTATTTTTGGGCATTTTCCTTTACCAACTTTTAGAAATTTTTTGCAAAGTCCATTTACTGAGTGATTAATGTAGAAAATATCCTGCAGAGTAACCTGTATATAAAAGAACAACGGTTGGTTGCAGGCAGCCCTCCAAGAGAAACACACACCGTGATGAGCTTGTCGTCGGTCTCCACGGCGACCTCTGAGGAGGAGGCGGGGTCTTTGTCCTCCTCGTTCCCCCCCGACGCTCCGATAAGCTCCTCCTCCTCGGCGCTCACCTCCTCGATCAGGAAGTCCGTGATGTTCTTCAGAAACGGGTTCGTCTCCATCTGAGGATCGATTCAATATTATTTACACTTTAAGATCAGTAAAGAACAAATACAGCAGCTTCAACAAACTGAAATATTATTTAGTTATTTTATACTTTCACCAAATTCAATATTTTAATGAGAAGTCTTTTTAAATTATTTTTTGATTTTTGTATTATTGTAAACCGTCTTTTAATATTTCAAAATAAAAAAAATTATATTAATGACATTTCTGATCTCTTTGTATTTTCATATTAAATAATTGTATTTATTTTTAAATCTAATTATAATATATTATTATATAATTACATGTCCCTGCCACAGCGCCCCCTTCAGGTCGAGGCTGTGAATGAGTCTCGCTGACAGCCGGATGTCGTTCCTGACGACCGGGCGATGGTGCGTCAGGCCGTTAACGCAGCGAACGCGACGACACAGATCTCTGTTCACCACCGGAGACAACTCGCTGTCCCGCAGCTGAAACACAGGAAGCATCCTATATTTAAACATTCATCTGACAGCAGAACACCTTCATCCACTTCCTGTTTAAATGGGGAGAACATTCTCCGACTCATTAAGATAAATACACTATCAATAGAACATTTATTTATTAAAAAAATATGTAGAGAAAACGTCTAGAAATATATACTTCATTAATAAAAATGTGTGGAAGAGTTTTTACCCGGATGTTCTGCAGGTTCCAGCACGTCTCCTTTATGTTCACACTGCGATCAAAGGTCACCCAGCAGCGCCGGAAGAACCTGACACACACACACACACACACACACACACACACACACACACACACACACACACACACACACACACACACACACACACACACACACACACACACACACATTTATTAACTGTACGGTTCAATACATTTTAGTTTAAGGGTTAGTCTTGAAAATGTAATAAATTATGGAAACATTTTCATTATTTTTTGTAATCATGAATTGAAAACTAGGGACCTTTATGCCTGTGTAATGTGCAATTAAAAAAAAATGTGCAATTAAATAAAAACACATATTCATAAATAAACACTCGGACAGCGCCACCCGCAGGAAGCCTGGGTACCTGCGACACAACTACAACAAGTATTTTTCATTACAAATGAATCTGCACATAGTTTATTTAATTATTTATTTTAAATATAAAGTTAAAGAAAATAGAAAAAATTCTAAAGAGTAAAAAAAAAAAATTTGCGAAAAAATTACCGAAGAATATATGTGAAAAAATGTCATAAAAGAATTAAAAAAAACAATAAATTAAAAAAAATGTATCGTTATGTGAAACATGCCCAGAAAGCATTTGAAAAACAAACTGAAACATTTCGAGAAAACACTGGAAAATTGCCGTCCCCAAAAACAGAAAAATTACATAAAAAGTCAAGAAAGGTGTGAAATATGATCGAACATTTTAGTTGCAGCTGTAGAGTGTGTGTGTGTGTGTGTGTGTGTGTGTGTGTGTGTGTGTGTGTGTGTGTGTGTGTGTGTGTGTGTGTGTGCGTGCGTGCGTGCGTGCGTGCGTGTGTGTGTGCTCACATTAGTGATGTCCTCTTTGGAAAACTCGGGGGGGATGCTCCTGATGAACAGGGAGGTGGTGAGGTGAAGGGGGTGGGGCTTAGCCGGCGCCTCCTTCTCTCGCTCCTTCCTGTCGCCGCGGTCCTTACGGCGCGCTGGGAAATATAAACAAGTGTGAGAAATATATTAAATATATCTGAAATTAAAAATGTGCTAAATATTTATGAAAAGTCAGAGAATTTTGAAGAAATCTGAAAATATATTTTAAAATGTGGAAAACGTATATGAAAAGATGATGGATAAAGAATGTTAAAAACCTGCAAGCCATGAGAAAAAGAAGTACTCTTATGACTGTACGAAACTAAAAATAAAGAATGTGGAAAACCCTGAAATCATCCAGCCACTGCTCTTAGGTTCAGAACTTTTCTGGATTTTGTTTCCAAATGTTTAATATGGGTTTTTCATGTACATTTACTATCTAACAATAGCCCCAGATATTTAAATTCATTGACCTCATTCATCGGCTTTCCATATAATGTAAGCTTCTCAGTCTCCATCTTGTGTTTATTAGTAAATGTCACGAAGCAAGATGTGCTTGCTGACAGCTTGAAACCCCATGACCACTTCTCCACTTTCTGTATAGCTTTGCCTCTTCTCAAACACATATGGAACATTTCTTCCCCGTATCCATATGGCCCCGTCATCTGCATACAGCAGATTTGATGCATCCGTCCAAATGACTAAAAATGTCATTTATCATAATGTTAGATAATATCGGGCTGATTGAACTCCCTTGAGGAATACCATTTTCTATACTGCACTCTTTTGAAACCTCTGCCCCTACTTAGACTCTGAATTTCCAGTCTGATCAAAAAGCCATGATCCAGTTATACATTCTCCCTCCAACTCCCATTCTACTCAATTTGATGAGCAACCCCTCCCTCCACATAGAGTCATACGCCTTTTCAATATCAAAATATACTATTGCCATACCTCTTTCATTTTCAGTGTCTTTTCCACCTCACTGCTTCCTCTAACCAAAGCATCTATTGTGGACCTTCCTTTATGAAAACCACTCTGAAAAGGACTCAGTACCCCTCTCTGTTCTAAGACGTGTGATAGTCTATGCACTATCATCTTCTCTATCCATTTCCAGAGTGTGATGTTAGTGCTATGGGTCTGTAGTGACTGGGATTAGAAGGATCCTTCCCTGGCTGATTAAATGGTAAAATGACTGCTGTTTTCTAACTCCTTGGTAAACCTCAGTTTCTCCAGATGTTATGAAAGTCTCAGGACTCATTTGAGTGTTTCCACAGGTAGCTGCTGGAACATGGCAGAGCATAGCTGGTCTTGTCCTGGTGCTGAGTATCCTGTACCTTGTAAAGCTATTTTAAGTTCTTCTATTGAGAAGTCTACATCAAGAGCTGATTTATCATCCCGTCTTTTTTCCCTCACATTTTCATTTTCTCTTAAAACACACTCTTTGTGCTGTCTATGTTTGTCATCCAGGTGCTCCCCACAATGCACCGCGGCAAATGCCCTAAACATTCGGCCTTCTCTTCATTTGACACTGCCACTTTCTCCCCTTCAATCAAAGCGGGAATTTGAACAGACTTCCTTTTCCCATTCATCTGTTTAAACATAGACCATACATCCCCTAACTTTACTCCTCTTCCAATGGTGGAACAAAACTCTCTCCATGACGCCTTGTTGTGTGTTTTACAGTTTTACGGGCTACTGCCCTTTTCCTTTGATAATCTGTAATATTGTCTTGTGACAAGTCTTTCTTTAGAGACCTGAATGCCTTGTTTCGTTCTTTAATAGCTCTGCTACATCCCTCATTCCACCTCGGCACCACCTTCTTCCCCTCTGAGGTTCTTGTTGGTATAGTTTTATTTGCTGCTTCTTTAATGTGCATTGGGACTTGATTTGAGCACTCTGTACTTCCTTCTAATGCTAACACGTGTGCTGACTCCTTACAGCAAAGCCTAAATGTGTCCCAGTCAGCTTTACCAAAGCACCACCTGGTGAATACACTCCCTTCCTGTCTACATACGTTTGTGTTGATGATAGTGAAAACTGGGTAATGATCACTTCCTATGGTAGAGTCACTTTTTACATACCATTCACATGATGTGACTAAACGACCCGTCACCAGTGTGAGGTCCAAACATGACTGTGTCCCCATTTCACGCCTATTCTTGTTTTCTGTCCAATCATTAAGGCAAAACACTGATCTTTCCTCTAGCATTTCTTACTGTCTGTTTGAATGCTTCCCCACAGGCTGTTGTGAGCATTCAAACCACCACACCATGCTTCCCTTCTATGAGCCGTCCCTGCTATTGTCTGCAAAGTTTCAATGTTAAGATTTTTACACGGGTTATAGAAATTGATAAGCTTTATGTTTCCTTCCTTCCTTGGGCTGCACATTTCTACTATGACACATTCCTTGTCTTCAGGGGATGGGACTACCCTATAGGCCCTGCACTCTGCTTCTTCTTCTTCTGTGGTTTAATGGAGGTCTTACTGAGCTCCACACCGCCCCCTGGCGCTGGAGGGCTGAATACCCAACAAGACATCTGACGTCCGTAAAGTTTTGTTTTTGAATCAACTTTTTTTATGAAAAATCTTTTATGTCATTTCCCTTTTCCAGGAATCTCAACAGAGAAAGTTTGGCCAGACTAAAACATTTATAATGTTAAATAAATGAAAACCATTCACAGTTAAGAATGAGATATTAATTATTAATGCCATTGATTATTGCAGACATTCAGAAGTTAAATCCATTTCTCACTTAATCTAAGAATGATCTTAACCCACTAAAAGGATTCTCAAATAATCAGGAATGACGTTGTGAAAACAATAACTCATCTCTCTCAGATTAATGTGCTCAGGTTTTTCCTTACCACCTACTACTGGATATATAATACACTACCTTTTCCAAAAAACACTATTATAACTAAGGAAAATATACTAATATAGAATAAATAATAAGCTAAACTTTATTTTTTTGGAAGGAGTATTTAATATAATTGCTCTGAGAGGGAAAGGAAACCCAACACAAACAAACCCTAATGATGAAATACAAGTGTTCCTGTAAGGCAGGTTTTATTTAAAGCTTCTTCAACACGAGGCGATTCAAAGTGCGTTACACAACTGAAAGACATTAAGAAATAATGCAGCAGATCATTCAAAAGCAGAGGGACTCAAATAACCATGAAACTAGCTGATATAGAATAACTCAGGTATACAACACATGAATAACAGTTACTGTGCATCGTGAGATAAGAATAGTTCAGTTCAAAGCAAACAGGGAAGTCTTCAGTCTGGATTTAAAAGGACCTGCAGGTTTCTGGGGGTTTGATCCAGATATTTGGAGATGAATAACTGAACTTCTCCAGGTTTAGTTCTGAGACAGAAAGCAGACCCGTCCCAGAAGACCTGCAAATCATTTTGAGGATGTAAGTTTTAAAAAACAGGGTTTCTAACGGAGTCTGGTGAACAGATAATGAATAAGAGTTTATACGCAGAGTTATTTAATGTAACTGTAAACTAGACTCACCTTCCACTCCTCAATAAGTCAATAAAGATCCTGGAGATGATTTTCTACAAGATTTCTATCAAAATAAACAATGTTCCAACTTCTACATATGGTGATGTACATTTAATACATACATCACTGTTGTAATGTTTGTGAAAAGCTTTAGGAGATTTTTGAGATAAATCCTGAATGAATTCAATGATTTTAAAAGTTTAGTAGATTTTCCTGAAATCTGAAAGAAAATGGCCAAAATTACAACTTTCTAATTGTTTAACTTTAGTATATGTTTTCTTTGTATCTGCATATCTACTTTGTACTGAGCATTAGCTGCTAATGCTAATAGACCACTGCTTCAGAAATAAAGGGAATAATATTGCATGTGCACGATATCAGTCAATACATGATTGAATGTAATTACACTGAGTTCAAAACATGGCGTTCCTCAGGGAAGCGTTCTGGGTCCTCCACTGTTTCAGAACTGATGCTCCGTGGTGACAGCAGACATGACATCATCGTAGTCATCGTCCAATCCCTGCTCAGCGTGGGTGGGCGGAGTCATCACAACGGAGACAGACGGGTCACTTCCTGTTGTCAGAAAGAACATGTAGAAAACATATTAAGAGTTTTGGTGGATATTAAATCCCTTTAGATCAGGGGGGTCCAAACTGTTTTCACGAGGGCCGCATACAGAAAAATATACGAAGGGCTGGGCCGCTCACTAGAGGTTTATTACCTCGTAAGTTCAGTTAGCAAAATCAATCAATGTAGGTACATGATGCTTGTGAGTGTTTAGCTCATCCCTTAAAGCAGATCCTCAGATTGATTATAATAAGAGGAAATATGAAGGTTTATTTCAAGCTTGTTGTGTAAATAAGTCATTGGGCTTTTTTCTTATCAACTAAGATTTGTTAGAAAATGTTTCCAACTTGAATTGACTGAATGTATTTGAAAAGTGGTTTCATTAACACATGAATACTACTGTGTAATATATGTTTACATTATATTTAAGAAGTACAATATAAGCAAGCGCACGTTTCATTTGTGCCATATTCCATTATACTTTTGAATTTGCTGAGGGCCGATGCAAAATGGTCCGCGGGCAGCATTTGGCCCCTGGGGCCGTAGTTTGGACACCCCTGAGTTAGATGTAGAAACTGAGAGAAGTTACCTCTGGCCCTCTGTCGATATAAAGACACCATGAGGAAAGTGGAAGATTGCAGGTACAGAACCACCAGGTGGCAGATCACCCTGAACACAAGGTGGGGGAAGGCAGGAGGGTGGAGGTGGAGGAGAGGAAGTGGGCGGGTCCATGGTTGTAGGAGGTTTTTCTGCAGAGAGAATCACACCTGGTCAGGTGAACATCTGAAGGAATGAGTCCTGAAACCAAAGGAAAGCTCCTCACCTGAGACAGACAGCCGGCTCTTTGGAGACTCTCCTTCATTCTGGACTCTACACTTGTAGAGGCCTTCATCAGACCTGTTAACATAGTGGAGGGTCATGTGACCATCAGACTCAGTCCTGATGAAGACGCCATCTTTGTAGAAATCAGCGAGGAGGTTGTCGGCCATCTTTGTTCTACAGGTCAGAGTGACGTCATCTCCCTCCATCACAGGGAGGACAGGACTCTGCAGGATCACTGATCCACCTGAACACAGAGACAGATGGAGAATGAACGTGATCAATAATTTACACATGGCAGAGATTATTAATGAACCCACTACCTGCCAAGTGAGGCTGTTGTGTAGCTAACTGAAAAGCTAACGTTAGCATGCTGAAGTCTGAAACGTCCAATAAGTAGAACAATGGACTTTACTCACATTAAAATACACTTGACAAATGCAACAAATTAATCCCTGTTATAACGACATTGGACAATATGACTATATGGCGTCAGTTAGCTTAGCATAAGTAGATACTTTCCTCGTTTCTGAACTTCATAAACTCTGAAACTCTCCGTACAGACCTTCACTAATGATTAGTACAACTCTTATTAAATACAAAGTGCTTTTGATAATAATATCTATAATTATTAATAATTAATAACTAGGAAAATAGGAGGGATGTTTAAGCCGTTCCACATGGTTTAAAGACTTTATTATATATATTAGTCCAGTATGAAGAACGATCATTTATCATCATACCATCCAAAACTAACTCTATATTTCTGACCCACTAGACTAAGATTTAAGAAAATAAGCTTTCTCTTCATGTTTCTTCCATGAATCACGTCTGCATTTTCTTTCATATTGTGTTAAAAGATGAGATTTAATTGATATCAATGTTTTGAAGATGTCACACACATCAAATGATCACAAAACCTGCAAGAACCAATCAGACAGAGCCAAGGTAATGATTGGTCCTCAGGGATGTTGTTCTTGTTCTTATGCACATGTGAGGACCGACTGGAGTTTAGAACAAAAAAAATATATAAAATAAAATATAAAATATGTGTTAGCCCGTAATGTATGAGTCTGTACTGAGGTGTATTTTAGTGGATGATAGTGTGTGTGTGAGAATGTGTGTTTTGCACCCTGTGGTTAGCACAAGCTAGCAGCTCTGCGGTCGTCCAGCTTCCTCTTTCTGATGAACTTCTTAAATTATTTTTAGTATTGATGAGGAAACAGAGAGGCTGATCTTACCAGAGACGGTGATGGTGATGGTGTTACTGGTGGATCCCTCAGTGGACTCACACCAGTACACTCCACTGTCCGTAGGGTCCATGGAGCTGATGTTACAGGAGGAACCAGCAGATCTTCCCCAGTCGACTCCACACTCAGCTCTGTTCTTATTGCCCGTGTTTCTCATCACAGTCCATCCATCAGAGGCGTCCTCACATCTCAGAGAGACAGGTTCATCTTCAAATACCTGAGAGCTGCTGGGAGTCACCGTCAGACGAGCTGCAGGGAGTTATTGGATTCTGAGTCAAACTTAATAAATAAAACCCGTCCCAGAATAAAGTTCTCCAGAGCTTCTTTTTACTGGTTACGCAGCAAGCTCTCTTTCTCTCAGGAAACTTTGCCTGCTCCAAGTAAACCCTTATTACGGTAATAAGGGATGCACAACTAATGGACATGTTATCAACATCACAATGTGGACTCATGCTATATTCAAACTGCAGTGAGCGCCATGTCTGGTTAGGTTTAGTGAACTCTTTAAAGCATTCTTTGAAAAAGAGAATGTCTCTGTGTCTTTGAGAAAGAGAACCAGCAGCAAAGTGTTTCCTCCTGAGAATCTAAAGGTTACTGACCTGCGTTTGTTGAGCAGCAGAACAGGGAGCTCAGCACTGGAGATCAAACACAACACTTTCTTAGTTTGAAGTGATTACATTCAAAACAGAAACACGAGTCCTGCATTCAGGACAGAGATATTGTTGATCACTTTTTCACTGTTTTTATAACATTTAAACCCCATTTGTTCTCATCTATTAAACATGACCCTTATCCCTCTTTCATATCTGGAAGTATTAAATGTGTTCAGGGTTACTCACGGAGCAGGAGAGAAGTGTCCTTCATTCTTCCTCTTGGTGCAATGAGATCAACTCTTCTTCTTCTTCTTCTTCTTCCTCTTCTTCTTCTTCTTCTTCTTCTTCCTCTTCCTCTTCTTCTTCTTCTTCTTCTTCTTCTGTCCGAGCAGTGAAACCACTTCCTGTTTCGTACGTCCTGCTTTTTTAAATAGATCATATTTAACTAACGTTGAATTGTGAAGCACTTTGAGATGATGTTTTTAAAGTGTGCTTTACAGATAACATGTATTATTATTATGATGGAGTAAGTTAAATGTTAAAGTATTCAGATTTTTGGAAAGTATTGTATTTATTGTCTAGTGAAAAAACACCCTGATGAGTCCACTTTTTATAAATAAATTAAAAAATATGTATCTAGTTTTTATGTTTTTTTATTTAATTAAAAATATATATACATAAATGTGGGAGTATAAAAGAACCAAGTCAAAAAACATGTAAATAAAGATTATTTAAATTCCCGATGGGAATGCGTTGTGTTGAAAAATAAACCAAAACGTGTAAAAAAAGGGCTGGAAAATATGCTGAAAAAATACCAAAATACTTGAAATGACATAGAATAGTCTTTAACAATTTTATGTCTCTTTGCCGCTGCTTTTAATTGAACTACAGTATGCCTTTTAATGTATTGTATACCTGTGGTGTTTATTTTAATTATCTTTGCTTTGTAATTGCCTGTTGTAAAATGCCATTATATATATATATATATATATATATATATAATGTGTTTTTAATGTATTTATTCATAAAAAGTATTTTAATTTGTTTTGTAAAGCACTTTGAATTGTCGCGTACAGAAAAGTGCTATATAAATAAACTTGCCTTGCCTTAAAAGCATCAAAGAAAAGCCCAAAATGAAGTCAATACATTTTGGAAAAAATGCCTGGAAAATACGTTGAAAAAGAGACCAAAAAGAAATGAAGGGGAAAGTGTCGTGAAAATGGAGAAAACATTGCCTGGAAAATATGTTGAGACAAAGGGCACAAAATGTCAAAAAAACAACCTTGTAAAATACATGAAGAATGTCAAAAAAGCCAGAAAATATTGAATATTTTTTGGAGCCCTCGATACGAGTTTAAATATCCAGAGAAATTCACTTTGATATAAAACAGAGAAAAGCAGCAGAAAAGATAGAATATAATAAATAAAGACTTTAGACGTCGTTAGTCTTCCTGTTTCTTTATTGGAAAGTGTTCAGAGCAGTAATGACTGACATTGGTCACACACACACACACACACACACACACACACACACACACACACACCACACACACACAACACACACACACACACACACACACACACACACACACACACACACACACACACACACACACACCACACCACACACACACACACACACACACACACACACACACACACACACACACACACACACACACACACACACAATTGACTAACTAAAAAAAAAAAAAAAAGATCTGCTGGAGGGTTGATGAAATGAATCATGGGAAACGTTGAGGAGTAAAAAAAAGGGTAAAAAGTTTTCTTGTGTCTAAAAGAAGTCAAGGTCGTCTGGAGCGTCGAGGTCCCGGTACTCGATGATCGATCGCGGGTCCCCACGAACACCCCTACACAAACACACACACATTCATTTCTGTTATTAAAGGAAATATAAAAAATGCTGTAAAAATAAAGTGTTTTTTTTACGTACCTGTTGTTCCGTGGTTTCGGAGGGAATCCCCCCCCTCCTCCTCCTCCTCCCCCCCCTCCTCCTAAATGACCCCTGAAGTTGTCATAGTTACCGCGCCCCGCCCCAAACTGGTTCGGGTTGTAGGGGGGGCCGCCACCTGCAACACACAATAAATAAAACACACTTAATACACAACAAGAGACTTTCCCATTTCATTTTGTACACAACAAAAATGTTAACTCATGTTATAATAATTATACAATATTTGTAGCAATTTAAAAAAAGGTTTAATAATAAATAATTGTAATTCTTTAAATCGAATTAAGTAACGGCAAAGTTCATCAGTTGGTTCATTTAATTAAAGTTAACCCGTCTAAACTCTTATGTATACCCAAATGTCCTTTATGGTAACATTTCTTTAGTTTTTAACACCTTGAAAATCTAATTCAAGGACTTTCCAACACGGTTATTTTATTATATTTGGTAGTTTTAAAGAATCTCACAGAAAAAGCACTTCTAATTTTTGCACCAAGGAAATTTCCCACAAGTCAAAAAACACCAAATGAGCCTTTGAGTTTAATCAGGTTTAGATGTATTTATTATTTATTGATAAGACGTTAGCAGGGGGTTTAACTGCTGTCCCTGAACGGTCTGGTTTTTCACCATAACTTTCATTTTATTGACATCATTTTGGGCATTTTCCCTTTTCAGGACAATTCTACATCATTTTGGTCTATTCTAACGATGTGAGTGTGTGTATATATATATATATGCTAATATATATATATATATATATATATATATATATATATACTATATATATCATATATATATATATATATATATCATATCTATATATATCTCTCTACTATCTCTCATATAGCTATCTCTATATCTCTCTCTCTCTATTCTCTCTCTCTCCCTCTCTCTATCTTCTCTCTCTCATCTCTCCTCTCCCTCTCTCTCTATCTCTATCTCCCTCTCCCTCGACACATACATATACCACACACCATATACATATAGGTATATATATATGTGTGTGTGTGTGTGTGTGTGTGTGGTGTGTGTGTAGTACCAGGGGAAGCCGGGCATGGGGGGGGTCTGACTCTCAGAGATATCCCAGAAGGCTTTGCTGCTGCGGAGACTGACCAGGAAATGATGTCATACCCTGAGAACCTAAAAGATGAGGAAAATAAAAGTCAGTCATTTTTATTTTTAAATTAGGTTTCCTACATTTCCCAGAATGCCGCTCACCTTGTGGCGGCGGGAGGGCTTGTTCTCAGGGAGGGGGCGGGGTCTCTTGGCGTCCAACAGGAAGTTGTTGAAGAAGACGACTTCCTGTCTGACGGCGGACACTTTGTCGCCGTGTTTGTTCAGGATGTGTTTACGCACAAACTCTGGGGCCTGAAACACACCAACAACAAAGAGTGTCACACACACACACACACACACACACACACAACAAAGAGTATCACAGAGAGACACACTCTGAAAACAATTCAGAATAATAAAAAAAGTCTTTGAATATTTCTAGGAAACATTTGAAATATTTTAGGTAAAAAAGTTTA